GACCCTTTTTCCACCCTACCAAAAGACGTTTCTATCTTCCTGACACCTTTGAAGAAAATAAATGATTCACTGCATGAATAGAGAGTCATATTTAACTTTTCTCAAATACAAAAATATGTTACATTTTACTTCTTCAGTTTTTAAAAAGCTATGCCTGTAGTGATGAACATAGCACTGGTTGAAGTATAGTTTAGTCAAACTTTCTGGAGGACAATTTACCAATAAAGGTGTTAGGTGCCATTGAGTCAGTTCCAACTCACAGTGACCCTATGCAGAACAGAAAGAAACACTGCCTGGTCATGCACCATCCTCACAATCCTTGCTATACCTGAGCCAATTATTGGAGCCACTGTGGCAATCCATCTCATGTATGTATATGTAGCCCAGTTATTGTTATTTTTGAGATTTAACACAAGTATAAAATTAGGAATGTACAAAAAAAAGTGTTCAAAGAATTTTGTTTTACAGAGTTATTTATAATGGTGAATGATTGAATAACCTGAAATGTCCGACAATAAAAAAAACCATGAATCCAAGTAAAATGGATCCACAATCAATGCCTATGGAAGCAGCTGTCAAGAAATCAAATGATGTATTACATTGGACAAATCTGCCACAAAACACCTCTTTAAAGTATTAAAAAGCAGAGATACCACTTTGAAGACTAAGATGCACCTGAGTAAAAAACCAAACCTAACCCAGTGCCAGTGAGTCAATCCTGACTCATAGCTACTCTATAGAACAAAGCAGAACTACCCTGTAGGGCTTCTAAGACTGTAAATCTTTAGGGAGCATCTTTCTTCTGATGGAGCAGCTGACTAAGTGCTTAAACACTGCACCACCAGCCATAGCATTTTCAACCACCTCAGATGCATGTGAAAGCTGGACAATGAATAAGGAAGACCAAAAAAGAATTGATGCATTTCAATTATGGTGTTGGCGAAGAATATGGGGTATATCATAGACTGCCGGAAGAGCAAATAAATCTGTCTTAAAAGAAGTACAGCCAGAATGCTCCTTAGAAGCAAGGATGGCAAGATCTTATCTCACATACGTTAGACATGTTATCAGGAGGGACCCACCCCTGGAGAAGGACATTACACTTAGTAAAGTAGAGGATCAGCTAAAATGAACCCTCAGTGAAATGGACTGACACAGTGGCTGCAACAATGGGCTCCAGCATAGCAACAATTGTGAGGATAGCACAGGAGCAGGCAGGAGTTCCTTCTGTCATACATTGGGTCTCTGAGTTGGAACCAACTTGATGGCATGTAACAACAACAAAATCCTAAAACCCATTGCTGTGGAGTCAATTCCAATTCATGGCGACCCTATGTGTTATAGAGTAGAACTGTTCTATAGAACTCAAAAATATGTATTTTAAATAAATTAGTATATATCTTGAATATTGTGCAATCATTATAAAAACTGTATGTTTGAAGACTATTCAGTGATAGGGGGAATATTCCTTAGGTTGGGCGATCTAATTAGTGGTAACTGCCGTAGTAATACTGCCTCAGAAACCCAAGGAGAGATTGCTATGAGTCGGATCCGACTCCACGGCAGTGAGTTTGGGTTTCGGTTTCTTACATGAAAAGGGTAGAATATGAAATTTTGTATATAGTGTGACCCTCATTCTGTAGTAATAATTATTTTAATATAAATTATGTTGTATAGAAACAGTTCCAAAGGGGAATATACTAAAGGACAACCGTTATCATCTATTAAAGTAGTGGGATTATGAATGATTTCTTGATTTTTAAAATGTTATTTATAGTGAATATATATTACATTTATAATAAGAAAAAAAAATAGCACCTTCTTAGCATAAATCGTTTCCCAAAGCTGACTAAATAATCAAATGAGTGGAGATTTCTTGCCGTCTAGAAGTAAATGTCCATGAATATTTTATTTTGTTTAATTTATGTTCAATAAATGGACAGCAGAGGGCATGAGAGAGTTTTCAGAAGAAAATGTAACCTAAATTAAGGGTTTGCTATTTAGTGGCCTCAGAAGGAAGGTTGGGCAATCCTACTTCCGTAGTGATACTGCCTCGGAAACCCAAGGAGGGGTCGCTATGAGTCGGGGCCGACTCGACGGCAAACAACAACAACAACAATTTAGTGGGGGAAGTCTGGTAAATTTGTTAACTTTATAAATTATAAACTATTTCAAAAAGCATGTGTCTTATTCTATTTTTCTTATGAAATTTTACTGAATTAATAACCTAAACTAATAACTAACAATCCTGAGAAGTATTTAATGAATATGTAAGTAGTACCATTTGAAATCTGCATATTATTTATTTACATGCAGATAATCTACAGAAAAAAAGTTTGCAATTTAATTTAGAGTCCAGTTTCCCCACTTTACTTGAAACACTTTGAGAAGCTGCCCAGTTTACAAATATCTTAGGAAGATTCTCAATGTTGTGGAGGGTGGGGTGGTTGTGATGTATACAAGAGTACTTTGTAAATTAAGGTGGTGTGTGTGTGTGTGTGTGTGTGTGTTGAAATATTTTTGGACTTATAATAGAAGACTAAAGCTTTTGTATGTGTTAATGCTTTGTTCCATTCCTTCACAGTGGTAGCAGCATTTCAACCAATTACACAGTAGTGTTGTTTGTTGTTAGGTGCCGTCAAGTCGGCTCTAACTCACAGCAATCCTGTGTACATCAGAATGAAATGTTGCCCAGTTGTGCACCATCCTCACAATCCTTGCTATACTTGAGCCCATCGTTGGAGCAACCGTGGCAATCCATCTTGTTAAGGGTCTTCCCATTTTCTTGCTGACCCTTCACTTTACCAAGCATGGCGTCCTCCAGGGAATGCTCATTTTTGACAGCATGACCAAAGTAGATGAGAGAAAGTCTGGCCATTCTTGCTTCCAAGGAACATTCCGGCTGCACTTCTTCCAGGAAAAATTTGCTCGTTCTTTGGCAGTCTATGGTACTTTCAGTATTCCTCACCAACACTATAACTCAAAAGCATTAATTCTTCAGTCTTCCTTGTTCATTGTCCAACTTTCACATGCATATGAGGCTATTGAAAATACCATGACTTGGAGTAGGTGCACTTTATTCTTCAAAGAGACATCTTTGCTCTTCAGCACTTAAAAGAGGTATTTTGTAGCATATTAGCCCAACGCAATATGTTGTCTAATTTCTTGACTGCTGCTTCCAATGGTGTTGATTGTGCAACCAAGTAATATGATCTGAAATACTTACCCAAAAGAAATGAAAGCGTAAGTTTACGTGAAGACTTGCACTCAAGTGTTCATAGCAGCTTTATATTCTGCCATCAAGTCGAATCTGAATCATAGCGACCCCTCCTTAGGTTTCCAAGGCGGTATCACTACAGCAGTAGATTGCCCAACCTTCCCTCCGAGGAGTGGCTGGTGGGTTTGAACTGCCAGCCTTCTGATTAGCAGTCAAATGCCTCAAGTACTATGCCACCAAAGCTCCTAGCTTTATTCATAGAAGCCCCAAAATGGAAACAAGTCCCATGTCTACCAAAGTGTGGTATATGTATTCAATGGAATAGTGTTAAAGAATGAAAAACAGAACCCACAGCAACATAGATGAACTTCAGAAACCTTATGCTAGATGAAAGAAGCGAGCTACATCTATGATTCTATTTACATGAAATTTTAGAAAAGGCAAAACTGTTGATGGTTACCAGATCCTGGGGATGAGAGTAGGATGTTGATTTTAAAGGGGTACAAAGGAACTTTTGGAGTGATGTAGATGTATGACAAGTAATTTCACAACTGTCAACATTTGTAAAACTCATCAAATTGTACAGCTAAAATTGGTGAATCTTATTGCATGTAAATTATACCTTGATAAATCCGATTTTTTAAGCACTTTATTGTCAATTCCCTTTTTTTCTTCCCCTCCTGAAGATCTATGTTCAAAGTCATTATATGGTATTACCAGGACAGTTATCTTGTTGTTGGCCAGTGCCTGACCACACTGGCTCCTGCTGAGATATGCATCTATCTGGGTCTCACGCATGAGTCTCACTGTTGATGTCTTCTGACAAGTCTGCATCCTCATCTGGTTCTCAACTTTCAGAAGCAGTAAACTGTCATCACAACTTCAAGGGTTCTTGGTGTATACTAGTGCTCCCAGCCAGCCTGAACACTCTCAGCTCCTCTCCCATGCCACCCTGTGAGCTCTGTTTAATTTTCCCCAAATCCCACCGGGGAAAAGCACGTTATCCGCTTAATAGTCTTGGATGTACAGAGCTCTCTGAAAGTTCTATCATTTCCTTTTCTAGGATTTGTCCTTAGTGGCAGGGTGCTTCAGGGCCCATGTCAATTTGTTTCTTCACCAACTCTCCTTGTTCCCCGTCTCAAAGGTTTGTTTATTTTCATTTTTAATCATCTTCTTCCAATGCAAATGTAGGGAAATCATCTTGTAAATATTCTTCCAATCCTATGGTTAATGCAAGAAATTTGTCTTTAAAGGAAGGAAAGAAATTGTGTAAGGGATGCTCTTTAGGGAGAGAAAGACTAAAGTACACTTCTTCCTAGGGCCAGGGGAAGCATGAGAACAGGAAATACTTACGCAAAAAAAGAGGAGGCTGTGAAATTTTTAGGCGTGAGACAGGGAATTTTGCCTACTTCACTAATTGTCTAAGGCTGGCTCTGATCCTGACTCGGAGTTGACATGCAATCTTTTAAGGACTTTTATTTAATTGTATTGCTTCCTTTCTCCCCTCCCCAGTGTTCAATGTCCTATCTTTCTCATCCTAGATTTAAACATCTCATAGTAGGTTTGAGTATTAGGTTTACCAGCACTCTCACTTCAAAGCTCAAAGGCAAACCCTGGGACAAATTTATGCTAGAGAGGACCTATATCATCTTTTCCAACTTACAGATTCTTGAAGTATTTGGTCCTGCCTTAAGCTCACCTCTGTTATTTTTGTTTTGTTTTTGTTTTTTTTAAGAATAACTTAAGACATAAATGAAAGAAAAAAAAAAAAAAAAACCCACAATGCAAGGGAGCTAACATCTATTAAGGACTACATGACTGAGTCAGGCACTCTGGTGGTGTAGTGCCTAAAACATTTGACTGCTACCCAGAAGCCTGGCAGTTCAAACCCACCAGCCACTCCTCAAAAGGAAGATTGGGAGCTTGGGGGCAAGATGGCGGACTAGGCAGAAGGATTGCACAGA